GGGGGGTGTACGCTTTCTGCTTCCGTGGCGCCGTGTGCCTTGAAGTGTAAGGGCAGATGGGAAGAGGAAGCGGGAAGACAGGGAGGAAAGGAGACGAGAAGGAGGAGGAGGAGATGGGGGGGCCCTGTAGGACCATTTGCGACGAGGCTCATTTGCACGGCGCCACTTAATTGGCTAAAACAATTAATTAATGTGTTGGAAAGTTGGCAGCAAAAGTTCATTTAAAAGGGTTTTAATATGCAATTAGGGAGAAGGCGGCGAGCTAGAGAGGAAGCACACGCGCAGGAAAGAGAGGGGATGAAAATATCCTCTTTTTTTTTTTTTGGTAGTGCGGCATATTTAGAATAAAAGGGGGGGGCAGGGGAGGACAAAGTTGACGCCTTTAAAGGGAGTTTGACAGCATCCTATTGTGAGCACGTGACTTTAAGACACATTATGCACCCCCCAAAAACAACAACAACAACATCACCCCCCCATCCCTTTTTTTTTCCTCTCACCCGCGTGAAACATCGCATGACTAATGAGCGGAGCAGGTTGAAATCCTGGGGAAGATGTCCTTGGAAGACGAATGCATTTTCAGCAGAATAATTAACTTAATTAACAAATCCGCATGCATATTCATCAGCCTATTAATGTCTCCTCTGTGCTGCTTGATGAGCAGTGGGGTAATAACCGCCGCATTTGCATAGACGGGCCCGTTCGCACGACGCCCCCTTTTAAAGGCGCATCGCGGATGAGCGGCTGGGAGAAAAACGCCAACTCCTCCCTAAATCCGAACACCAATCCTGGTTTGAAACCCGAATCCAGGCGTCATACCGGAGCTCGTCTGCAACGGGAGAACTTGTTTTAAACTACGTACCTGCAATTTGTTTTGTATCAAACTGTTCCACTAATAAAAGTCTTGACACAATCACAACTGCTGTGCTAAATAGACAAATGAACTCCATCTTGATAAATCACGCGATGCTTCCAAAGATTTCCGCGTGTCACGCGGCTGTTCTGGTTTAATGTATCGTGGTGTATGTGAACGGCAGATCGGAACAGATCCGAATAACATAAAAGTATCCACGTACACCTGACTACTAATTTCAAACCCTACAATCATGAATTGAAACTAGACTGAAAACCTTATTTGAAAGCCGAACTCAGTCTGGAAATTTTGAATTCATAACCCGGGTTTGAAACCCTCCTCCACAATCTCCCTTGCCTTTATGGGCATATCATGTGGCCAACAGAGGGCACATGATCATCTCCATCTTCCTCTGCCTCAACTCTCAAGGGGCCGAATTTGTGTGTGTGTGTGTGGAGGGGGGGGGGGCTCTTGTGGGGGTCTTGTTGGCATTGCTCCACTCCTTTCTTCTCCAGTGCCATGCTGCCGTGTCAGTCGTGCATGCGTGCCGCTGTCTGCTCTGCACGCAACCTGGCGCTCCTAGCAACGCCACCTCGCTCGGCGCACACACGTGCCACATGGCGGCCCGGG